GGCTACAGTAGGTACTCCTTCTTGCCCTGGCTGGCGTCGTTCCCATTGAGGAAGGCCTCCTGCACCTCACCATGTTCATCCAACCCACTGGCCTCATGGGTAAGATAGGAACCTGAATGGAAAGAGATAGAGATAGAGAGAGAGAGAGAGAGAGAGAGAGAGGAGAGGGAGAGACAGAGAGAGAGAGAGACCAAGAGGGAGATTGGAAGGGGAAGGTTAGGTGGCAAGCGTCATGATCATTGCAGCGCCATGCAGCATTATCGAACCACTCAGCCCTCATATTATTGAGTACCATACCTGTGACTGATTAATTCATTAGTTAACTGATTGTTAGGTCAATACCAAGCAAGAATAGGCTCTCGGGTACGGTACGAGCCTACCGGCGGAAATTAAAGGTAGGGGATGGATGTATGAATAGAAGAGGCAGAAGAGTAGGGGTAGGTGATAATAGAGAATAAAAGAGAGGGAAGGAGGAGAGATTGGCAGAAAAGGGTGGAGGGAAGGTTAGGTGCAAGAGAACAATGGCACGTTTGCTTCACTCAGAAAAACCATTAAACACATCTTAACACCCCTCCGGTCTGTATGATTAATGATTCGGTGCAGTACAGGTTACAGAGAGCAAGAACTGCTCAAGTCATCTTCCTGCTTGAGTGTCCCTTCACTCCTGGGGTGAGTGACACTCTCATTCTCCTTACCCCAGAGGTTGACTGGCATGCTGACAGTCACAGAGGGCTGAAGACAAAGCCCTAATGGCCCTGTCTCAACATAGTTTGGTTGTAATGGTTCTGTCTCTGTGCTGATTGGCGGTCAAGCCATACTGAATGTTGACTGACAGCTTGTCTAGCCTTAGGGTAAGTAATGGCTGGTTGCTGCCCGCTACACTGTTCCCGGATCATTTGTTGGCAGCTGTGGTGCACAGTCGAAGGCTGCCAACACAGGGGCACTTAAAAAGATAGGGAACGCAATGAGACTGCTTTTAATAGATGAGCCTTGATACACTAACATATAGTCATAAAACATGGGGACCACACCTACATTTCCCACCCCACCCTATCTTTTCCGCTATCCTGGCCAAGGTCGTCCATCATGGACAGTGCCCGCCTGGAGAGGAGCATCCCATCTTGTCTGCTTTGCGCTGACAAGTTTACACCTCCGTTTAAAAGATTATTTTCAAAGAATCTGGTTGTTAACTGGCCTGCAATTATTTTTTTCACAGCGTTTTACACAAGAAAGTAAAGAAATATGAAAGCGTGCTGGTGATAAATGTGATAATACAGTTTTGATTGCCAAAATGTGTCCCCCTAGCTTATGAAAGAAACTTTTGTGTTACTCAGTGTGTGTGTTTGTAAGTGTGTGGGTGTGTGTTACCTTTCTGTCGGACGGAGCACCAGATGGTGACAATGAGGACACAGATTACGGTGAAAACCAGCAGTGCCAGAACGCCACCTATCACCGCATATGGTACTGCACTGTGAGTCTCTACCACTGCACCAGGATCTGAGAAAGAAAAAAAAAAAAAGAGATAAATAGTGTGTGTGGGTGGAGTGTGTGAGGTATATAAAGGGAAATATGGAGAGAAAAGTACAGCCGAAGAAACAGAGACAGAGAGACAAAGAGAGATATGGATCAAAAATGAAAGCAGGAGAGATGTTGAAAGGGGCAAAGAAAAATATCAAAGTGAGAGAAAGAAAGCACATTAAAACACCAGTGTGGGGGTTGATACAGGGAGCGAGACAAGAAAAAAAGGATGTCGATATCTTCCACCCAACTTGCATTATCACCTTTCATCACCCTCCACTGCACAGAATGCCAGGCAGTCAGAATGGGTGAGAAAAAGGTGGAGAAACGAAGAGAGTGAATAAAGAAATAAGTATGTCAGCCTCTAAAAACCCACTTCAGCCAAACGTCTGTCAAGACCACAATGTATTTTAAATGAGGAAAACTTTGAGTGTGTTTACACCCCGAGTGGTGCCGCCCTGGGAAATAAAATCAAAGACTTCACCACAGGATCAGTTAAGAGAGATAAAAAGACAGGCTAAATTTTGTGACATTTTGTAGTTGAAAATGACAGAAGTGCTAAGGAATTATTCATGTCCACCTCACCTTTTACAAACTTTACACTGCTTTAAAGTAAAGGACAAATACTAGAACAAAAGCAGAGGAACAATGAAAGAAAGTGTAGGTTAGTGCTGAAATGATTAGTTGAGTAAAGCAATTATTCTGTTGACGGAAGAAAATCTATAATTGATTAACTGTTCAAGTCATTTATCAAGCAAAATTGCCACATATTCATTGGTTCCAGCTTCTAAAATGTTTATAGCTTTTTTCTTTGTTTTCTATAACTTTAAATTAAATCATTTTAGTACTGGAACTGCTACTTGCTCTGGTAAATAGTGATTTTCAGTATTTTCTGACATTTTGTGGATCAAACAGTTAATCAATTAGTCAAACACATTATCAACAGCTTAACTGTTAGTTGCAGCCACCATACAGATCATAAAGCAAACTTAAGACCAAGCATGTGTCTGTGTAGTTTCACCAGTAAACACTGCTCGACAGTATAAAGGGCAGGGATGTAGACAGAGTCGGCGGCAGAGCAGATCTACTGGAAGGGCATTGGATCATCGGTGGGAGGGGCACTGCCGTTTGAGAAATATTTTAACGCAGTGGCGACATCATTGGACTAACGAAACACATTTTTTCTTTATTATTAAAGAATTACTATTAGCGAATTTCGTTTTTTTGTTGTTGTTGTTGTTGTTGTTTTAATTTCCATATCATGTCACTTAGTCGAAGTTATGTGGTAGCCCTATGCACACAGTTTACGCAGTCACACACACGATAATAAAAGGCAGAAAGGGGTGGGGTAAAGTTATGCCCTCTCTCTACTCCAGCGAGGACGGAGGATCACTCAGATGACACACAGCGGAGGGTGTGACAGTTTAACTGGTGATACTGAGGCAGATGTG